TAAGATATTTCCATGTATCTCCTAGTTAAGAGTATATATAGAGGCAAGAATAAAGCCTTCTTTATTCTTGCCAACATCTTTTTAGTCGTTAGTCTTCTTTCAAGACTTTCTAGTCCTCTTATTTTTGGCAATGGCCATTCTAGTTCAATATTATATCATATTTGAATGACTTTTTAGTTCCTTTCAATAACTCAAGAGAGTTTTGAAGATTTTCTTTCTTCAAGATTCATGTCCTTATTAGGTTGTTATTTGACTTTCTTTGAGATTTTTGAATTAATTAAATTATAAAAGAATTAGTCATGGATAAGATTCTTTTAGAGATGAAAGATATAATTTGGAATTTAAGAAGTGAGACTTGCCTTTAATCACCAAAAACTATAAACTTAAAGACATAATGAATAGGCTTTTGTAAAAAAGAAGAAAAATTGATCATAGAACCATTTCAATTTTTTACACTATTCTTACAACATCTAAGAAGAATATAAGTTTTATTATATTTTAAATTTAATGATAAAAAAGGTTATAAATTCTTGATCTTTATCTTCTACCTTAATCATTAATATCATATTAATAAAACTTAGATTACAATTATTTCAAAAGTACTATTTGGCTCTTGGACGGAGAATTGGGTAGTTATGTTCTTGAATAAGATTTGGTGAGCTTCTTTTGAGATTTAGAAGCCAAGGTTTTTTAGAGTATGTTCCTTCTTCTATTACATATATAAGATTTATAATCTATTAATGACCAAAGAAAAAGAAAAATGGGTAAAGTAACATATTGGTTGGCACGATGAGGTAGTTGAAGTTTGAATCGTGGAAGAAAAGCTAAACATATTTTTAACAAAAGATAATTATAAAGAAGTTTTAGAATCAATTCATAGAATTAATCTTTGATTGAATCTAGACTTATTTCATATAGGAACTTGAATTTCAATTTGAAAGAGTAAAGAGATTTTTATATGAGATAGCAATCTCTTGTATGAACTAAATACAAAATTTTGTACAAAATATTTTGATGATATAATTAAATATATTTTTAACAATGAAATCATATTCTTAAACATTAAAATTAAGCTTTCATTCTATTAATAACTTCAAGTCTCAAAGCTAAGTAAATGTTGAAGGAATTGGTACATATGTATTTGTTACATATTTATTTATTTTTATCTTGCAATATAATCCAACATGTCTTAATTTTTGTAACATAAGATAAAAAAATATTATTTATATGTATTTTTTATTATTACAATCAATAAGAATATTTTTATAAAATATATAAAATAATTAAAAATTTTAAAAAAAATATACGAATTATTAAATTTAAAAAATTAATCAATTTTTTTTAGTCTTAAAAACATGATTTTGTATCCAAAATAAAAATACTTGGTTAAAAAAAACATCTTCAATTCAATGCCTTCTCTAATATGTACTAGATTACAATTCTTTTATAGATCTATTTTATATAAATTTTAGATTCAAATAATTATATAAGAAGTTTTAATATAAAAATAAAAGAAAAAAAATCTATAATAGTTAAGTTGTTTAATTGATTGTAATCTATAATTATTTGAAAGGATCTTTTATTATTATTATTTTATAGTTTTTTATTAATATTTTTATAAAGGATTTAAATTTTTATTTAAATAAATTTCTTAAGAATATATTTGTCAGAATATTTATTAAAATTGGTTATATTTAAATTAATTTCAAAATATTCTAAATAAAAAATAATTTTTTCTTTTGCATCAATTTTATAATTATAAAAATATATTTAGATATCAATAATAGATATTTTTTAAATATATTTTAAATCTCATTATATTTTTCTAACATTACACTACAACTTCCACTCAAATAAAAATCACAAGCACTCAAGTCTTTTTAAGCATGTACAAATATCTTTATTTTAATAGATAGAGATTTAATTTTTTTTATATAAAACATATTTTTTCATTTAATGAATTTTCTATATAATCAAGTCTTGATGAAAGTTTTTTAAAAAAACTTGATATTAATAAATAAAAAAAATTAAAAGAAAAATGATAAATTACACCATATTCAAGAACCTCATGCATTAGATTATATTTTACTTCATTACAACGTTAATTTGTTTAAATCTAAACTATATACATGCTCTCGATTTTTTTATTTTTTTGTTATTGTTTCTTGTAATTTTTCTTCTTTATCAGGTAAATGCATTTTAATGTAATTATTTGTTGAAATGTAATCATATATTATAGTTTTTATAGCCCCCGCTCACAAAAAAATGCTTTTGCTCTTATAACTTTGATTCCAACTCCATTTTTTATTTTTTTGTTATTGTTTCTTGTAATTTTTCTTCTTTATCAGGTAAATGCATTTTAATGTAATTATTTGTTGAAATGTAATCATATATTATAGTTTTTATAGCCCCCGCTCATAAAAAAATGCTTTTGCTCTTATAACTTTGATTCCAACTCCACATGTACTTATATAGTAGTATACTATTATATTTTCTTGATATATTTTGTTCTTGCTTCATTAATCTTTTTCTAGTTTTGATATCCATTCCTACATATATAATATTTTTTAAAAAATAATTATTAAAAACTTTTCTATTTGTTTTTTTTTTGTTTTGTTTTTAGTTTCATATTTTAAATTTCCTAATTTCATATAATTTTGTAGCTAAAAATATTATCTTCTAAGACTATCAAAAAATAATTATGCACTTTGCAAATCTTTTACCAAACTTTTCTTCTCAATTATAACTAACTCTTGTTACACTATACAAGTCTAAAACCATCCAATGAGACTCTACATTCTGAAAAAATTGTAACATAACAAACTTCAATTACATTTAAAAGCCTAGTTTGAAAGGTCATGGTTCAAAAGCATTATTAAGGTTCCATACTTGGTAAAGAAAAGCATTATTTTAGAAGCCTTGACCTTTTGATATAATATTAAATAAGAAGAGGCTATAAAATAAATCAACTTCTTTTAATTATTTATTATTAGTTAGAAATTAACAAGAAATATTTTAGAAGAGTGTTTTTGATTTATTTCCAATTAAATGATCAATCTAAGATATCACAATGTATTTTATTATTTCAAAACATAATACTATTATATTTAACAAAAATCAATAGATTGGTACAAATGATGTGTGTGAGATTTTGTTTTATTGTTATTACCAATTATAAGTTTTATAAACTTAAATTTATTTGTTATTTTTTTTGATGTTTCTCTAGTTTATTTTACTTTAAGGAATAAAGCAACACCAACACATTCCAATATTTTTCTTAAGCATTACTTAATCAGTTGATATTTGCAACACTTGATATGTAGTTATTATAAGGATGATTTTTTTAATGTACCTTCATCAAAGATAAAGATTTTGATCTTAAATTGGTAGAATGTATACAAAATTATTGTTAGTCAATACTTGAGTTACTTTTAAAAATCTAAAAATATCAAAAACACTTAAAATAGGAAAAAGTTTATATATATCCATGTGATTTGTAATATTTAAAATAAAATCCCTGTAATTTTTGGAAATTATGGGAATTCCCTTCAGAGAATATTCTTTGAATTTTTTGTTGTTGCAGTTGCAGACACAATCATTGTTGCACACAGCAAATTTTGTGACTGCACAATATCTTGTGCACCTACCCCTTTTGCAAACCAAAATATGGAGGAAGACCCACATTACATGAACAAGCATATGCATACACATGATGTTGAAGATGAACCCCTAAAAGGGTGTTGAGAAGGGTATTCCCACAATTTCCAAAATTACAATGGTATCCTTCAAAATATGGTAAATTGCAGGGGGATTTATCCAAATTTCCCTTATAAATATAATATATACACACACACATCTTCTTATGATTCAATGCTTCAGCAGATAGTAAAAACGTGATACTTTAATTCTTTTTTTTAAATATCTTTCATGGGATTAATAATAATCAAAACGTATCAAAAGTTTTATAAAATCAATTTCTTGTACTGTCTCTATTGCAAAATATGATAAAGACTATTTCTAAAAATATTGTATTAAATCAGTTGGTTTTGAATAAAAATATACACAGAGGTGTTGAATTCTAATTTTCTAAACAATTATATAATGTTTTTGGTCTTTGAAAAGGTAGAAAAATCAGAATCAAATTATATTAATATCAGATATATTGACGTTTAATAAAAAAAAAATATATATATATATATATATATATATACGTTTGAATAAACATTATGTGAATAATATATAGTATAATATTAATAACTTAATAATCATAATCATAATAATATTTTTATCATTTATCATAAAGATTTGGTTTTATGCACGTATTTAATGATTGACAGAATTTCTTTTGAAGAAATATTGAAATTTCACATACATACAAACATTTTGTTAATTTGGTTGAAATGTGCCATTACCATATAATACTCTAAATACGTTAAACCACTTGTATAACGTCCAATGTTTTTAGTTCCTCATAACTTTCACATAGAGAAAAATAAATTTTGCTAAAATGGTCACTGCATTAACTGTTGTCGAAATATGCATTCTATCATTCATAGCTAATGTTTTAAAAAATAACTAAAAAATAAAAATAAAGATAAAATAAAACAAATCCCAAACACACAGTAAGTAAAGCACTTTTGACGGACAATGTTTGATAACTTGTAATACTTCCGCCATTCACACATTGTGTGTCTCAATCACGTGAAAATAACATGTTGAAAGAAACAAGTAGGGTGATAAAGAGTGAGAGAGTGAGCAGCAGCAGAGTAGGAGTGCAGCTCTCGCTTGAGGAATGAATGGGGCTGCGGAGTAGTGAGCCATGCATGGCCTGGGTGGCGCGACGGCGGAGGAAGGGTTGCTGCACCACAAGCGAGGAGAAAGCCATCGCTTGTGGAAACCGAGGAGGAATGGAATGGGATCGGGAGCGAGGCGCGACGCCACGGGCGGAGGTCCCAGCAGCAGCTGCAGAGGGCCCACGGCCAGAGAATCAGCGACAACGCCAGGGCCGAACTCAGCCAGCCATTGGAGACTGCTACGCCTTATCCGAATCCATTGGTCACCAGCTTGTGGCGGACGGACGCCATGGCCACTACGCTTTGCTTCATCTTCCTCGTCGCGCCGCCTCCTTTGCACATTCTCTGTCCTCGTTATTGATCGCGTCCTCCACTCCCCCTGAGTCGTCGCTGTGGGGTTCCCTCTTTGGGTGAGGAGTAATGGCAGCCATGGCAGCAGCGAAGGCTGAGTTTCTGGGGCAGTCCCTGGTGGGCAGCCAGAGCGAGGTGGTTGGCCAGAGGAAGGAGGCCATGCGCACCGTGGCTCTGTTCAACAAGAAGGACGCTGGAAAGGCAGCCGCGCCAGTGAAGAAGGCCGCTGGAAAGGCAGCCAGCGCTGTGAAGAAGGCGAACACTAAGGTGAATGTTCCCAGCAACGAGGAGTTGGCCAAGTGGTACGGTAAGTATTGGCGAGTCGCTCTGCAATTTGGGCCTTGTGGATTGTAAGAGTTGAATTGCGGGGTTACAGATGATCTACGCTTAGGGGGCTTCTCTTTTCGAGCACTGCATATGGCCAATACAGTGATAGAAGGGCTTGCAGCGATGCAATGCTCGCCGGCTTTTGTGCCTCGAAGTAGGAATGTGTTTGGTCGTTGTAGCTGTTATGCTCTATATTTACAGTTGCAGTGTCTGACTAGTCATTGTTTGCGACAACGCAGGTCCTGATAGGAGGATTTACTTGCCCGAGGGTCTTTTGGCCAAGGATGAGATTCCTGCGTACCTCACCGGAGAAGTCCCCGGAGAGTACGTTTTCTTGTTCTCTTTCTGTTCGCATGTCTAGGAAGAACAGTTTACCATATTTTAATCACCCTCGCCGATGTAGAAGGGTTCAATGAAATGGGTTGCGTTGAGGCTTTCTAAATGTGTGACCGAATTGTGACAATGCAGCTATGGATACGATCCCTTCGGTTTGTCAAAGAAGCCAGAGGACTTCGACAGGTAAATATCCGATATGTTTTTGTTTCTCATTTACCACGACGATGTCGCGATTTGGAGTCTACGACTTAAATTTTTCTGACGGAAATGTTTCTTCAGGTACCAGGCATACGAGCTGATCCATGCGCGTTGGGCTATGTTGGGAGCCGCTGGGTTTGTTCTTCCCGAGGCATTCAACAAGTTCGGAGCCGTCTGCGGCCCTGAAGCCGTCTGGTGGAAGGTATGCTACTGTGTCTTTCCGTGCTACTCCGAGTCGGCCAATTTCCGAGCAGCCTCTGCTGTGTAGATGCTGTGCGTAGAGAAGTCCATGTGGACGTAGGCATATCATTCTGATGAACTGAGTCTAATCTTATCAGACTGGAGCATTGCTGCTGGAAGGTGACTCCATCAAGTACTTCGGAGCCACCGTTCCCATCAACCTGGCCGCCGCCGTGATTGCCGAAGTTATCCTGGTTGGAGGAGCTGAGTACTACAGATCGACTAACAAGTCTCCCCTCGGATCGGTATGTCCCTGCACCAATTCGCTGTCATGTGGAGAAAAAGGTGGTAGACAAGACAGAGGTGGCCTTATCATGGTTTGGGGGTGTGGCGAGGTGAATCGATCTTTGAACTGTCCACGTTCTGACCGTGAGGGATGTTTATGGATTGCAGGACTTGGATAGGCTGCACCCAGGAGGTGCATTCGACCCTTTGGGGCTTGCAAAGGACCCCGACCAGTTCGCGCTGTTGAAGGTGAAGGAGATCAAGAACGGGAGGTTGGCTATGTTTTCGATGCTGGGGTTCTTCGTCCAGGCATACGTGACTGGAGAGGGACCGGTGGAGAATTTGGCTGCACACTTGAGCGACCCATTCGGAAACAACTTGCTGACCGTCATCCAGGGTACTGCTGAGCGGACTCCCAGCCTTTAAGCAAGAAAAGCTGGATATGTAGTGACTGCCGAGGATTGGGAATGTATAGACCTAGGAGATCTTAATGCACGAAGCTCGTTGCTTGGAGAAAATTCATCGTACATATTGGATATGTGAAAGACAATGCAGTTAGAAAACCTGCTTTCCTTTGCGTTAATTTAGCTTCGCTTTGAAGACTGAGTTTTTCAAATTGAAGTGATGACTCTTTTAAACTAACCAAGTCCACGATTATCGATATGTGAATGGTATGAGACTATGACGTGTCTTCTTTAAACTGTTTTCCTATCTCAATCGCAATCCAATTCGTTGCCCAGTTACAATTATGATGGTATTCATAGTTTACCTAACAACTATCAGTCGTCAGAATTCGTGCTCAAACTCATAATTCCTTGTGTGCCATACAGCAGCAGACAATGTGAATCATAATAATTTGTCGTGCAACATTTCTCAAAATATTCGGCCGATGAACTATTTAACTGTCTCAATCAATGTGCTCACTTCCACGTGTCTCGTGCACCAGCGACAATATTGATATGAACTATCATCGAACACTGTCATAATCTGTGCTGACCCAACTAACACTTTCAAAATGTGACGAGAAGGACGCTATAAAAACTCTCTATTCGATGCCATCCAATTGCTACAACCTGCCCTGGACAATCTACTGGCTACAACAAGTCAAGCTGCTTCAGTGACACTATGTCGTGAGAAAGAAGGTCAACTATTCCCGAAAAGTGAGAGGCCCCAATTCATCGAATCCTTAAGAATCTCCGTCGAGAAGTAAATAGTATTTGCATCGCCATTGGATGTCTGAGGGCGCCTTATCCATATCCTACTGGCTACGCTCATGGTTACACAAGCTCGCCATCCTTTCGCTCATGCCCTGGAGTGCTCACGTCGTTCTTCTACACACAGCCATCATCTATGGTGGTGGTGGTAATCTGCCAGAGCCTCCAATTTAGCAACAATCTGGTGAGGAGCGATGGCGGCCATGGCAGCTGCAAAAGCTCAGTTTCTGGGTCAGTCCCTGGTGAGCAGCTGGAGAGGAGTGTTAAAAGAAGAGAAAAGAAGCAAGCATAACAGAATTGATCATCTGTTATTATTCTCTTAAAGCGTGTATTACAGAGGTTGATGACAACCTATATAGGTTGTAGATTGATTACCAAAATATATAGATAAGACATTCAATTGGTGATAGTCCTTGTTCTTTACTAATTATTTAATCCAAATAGCTTTTTTGTACAAGCTATATATTCTACTTTGATAGAAGATAATGCTATAATAGGTTGTTGCCAACTTTGCCAAGAAATAACTCCACCGGCTAATGTAAATATACAACTAAGAATGGATCTTTGGTAGTTTTCATCACATGTCCAATTACTACTACTTAAATCTTAAATTTAATGTTGATATTCAATTAAATTTTATTTACTTTGATGAATAATTTTATAATTTAAAATTCCTTTAAGATATCTTATTATACCTTTTATTGTAGATCAATGTGCTTAACTTGGATTAGCTATAAATTTGGCAACTTGGCAAATAGAAAAAGTAATATCAAGCCTAATATGAATCATGGCATGTATTAAGCACCTTACAATAATTAAGTACAAGACATCCTTCATTATCTTTATATTTTTATGATCAATGAAACTTATATCCATAGTCAATCTTAATTTGGCTTCAAGAAGGATTGAAACGGGTTTATAATCTTATATATTAAATCTTATAAAAATTTCAGTTATATATTTATTTTATAATAAACTAATAGACTTGTTAATTTTATTGTATTCAACCATTATACTTTGGCAACCATATCTACTTTCAATAGATCTTTTTTTAGTCATTTCAAAGCCACTTGCCAAAAGTCTTTAAGTAGTATTTAAGAAATATATATTATTACTAATAATAATAGAGTTGTCTACATATGATGTCTATATAATAAAATTTTGATGCATTAGCTCTCTTTTAATATATATACTAGAATCTATTTTACTATAAGAAAAATCATTTTCAATAAATTAATGGTTAAATTATTCATACCACATACACAAAATTTATTTTAATCCATATATACATTTAATAACTTATAAACTATATGTATAAAGTAAAGATCAATATAACTCTTTGGTTGAGCCATATAAATTTGTTTATTTAAAAGACCATGAAGAAATACGGGCTTAATGTCTATTTGATAAACATTTAAATCATATATTGTAGTTAGGGATAATAAAATATACAATGAATTTATTTTTATCAAAATAAAAAATATCTTTTCATAGACAATATTGTTTTCTTGTGAAAAACACCTAGCAACCAATTGAGCCTTATAATAGGTGATTATTCTATTAGGATTATATTTTCTTTTCGAAATCCATTTATAACTTACAGTGACTCAAAAAACTATTTCAATGTTGACATATTTTAGAAAGAATGGTGTATTACAGATGAATTGTTCTGAATAACGACATGTGGTATATATAGCAAATAAAGTATTCTTTTACAGCTACCAAATGAGTCCAGGTTGAAAAGAATCCATTAGGTAATTGTGGAGCTATGACCAATCTAATTTGGAATAGTATTGAAACAATCTTTTGACTATGGTGTCAAATTTTTGGATTCTATCAATTACTTAATATTATAACATTCTATCATCATTAGATTTATTATGAAAATATTATTACTAATCTAATGATATTATTAATGCTTACTAGCAGGTATAAAAGCACTATTATTAATTACAATTCCTAGCACAGACATATTCTAAATTATTACATTCTAAGTCCTTTTAGAATCTTCTACAAATTTCTAAAATCTTCTAGATATTTGTAGAATCTTCTACAATCTTTTAGAAAGTTCCATAGGCTTTTAGAAGCCTCTTTAGGCTTTTAGAAGCCTCTTTAGGCTTTTAGAAGCCTCTTTAGGCTTTTAGAAGCTTCTTTAGACTTCTAAAAACTTCTATAGAAAGTACTATAGACTTTTGTAACCTTCATTATAGTATAAATATGAATCTTTGGAACCACTTTTACTATTAATCTTATTCTTTGTCTTTAATCTTAATATATTTCTTTGTCAAATTCTTGTATCCTTGACAATTCCTTAAACAACTAGGAAATCCATTTCTTGCTCTCTCCAAAATAACATCACCTCTACTCTTCTTCATTCTCAAAAATCTTATGGCCAAATTGCTTCTGAACTTGGCTGTAGTAAAGCTACTATCTCTAGGCTAGCAAAAAAGATCACTTTTAATAGGGAGAATCTTAAATTAGGTAGACTAAAGAAGCTCACTGTAGTAGATGAAAGAACAATCATTTGCCAAATCAACATTGGGAAGATTGAAAATGTTATTGAAGTTGCTAAAAATCTTTATAATATTATCAATAATCCTATGTCAATCCAAACCATTTGAAATGTCCTTAAGAAATAGAATCCGAAAGCTGCGGTAAAAAAAAAACAAACAAACAAACAAACAAACAAACACTATTATCTATCTGCCAATAGAAACAATGCTTGGATTTTCCTCTGAAGTACAAAGAATGGATTGTGGAGAATTAGAAGAGGATTATTTGGTGAAATGAGACAAAAATCAATAGATTTGGGTCAGATGGCAAAAAAAAGGATGTAAAAATAAAAAGAACAATCTTTACTTGACAAAAAGATATAAGAAATAATTAAGCATGGAGGTGGAAATATAATGGTATAGAGTTGTATGGAATGGAATGGAGTTGATAGAATGGCAGAGGTTGAAGAAAGGATAGATGTCAAGCAATTTGTAGAAATTTTTGAAAAAAATCTACTTCTTAGCATTGAAGAATCTAGCATTTTTGAAGAAGAAGTGATTTTTCAATAAGATAATAATCCCAAGCATAACTCAAAACTAGCATCAAAGTGGTTTGATCATCATAGGATTAAAGTAATAGATTGGTCTGCTCAGTCTCCTCATCTTAATCCCATTGAACATCTTTGGAAGCACCTCAAATGTCAGCTCAATACCTAAAAGATAAAACCAAAGGATTGGAAAATATGAGAATTAATAGGTGTAGAATGGAATAATATTAAAGCAATTTTGTGCCAAAAGTTAATAGAAAGTATGCCTAGGAGGTTGAAATTAGTTATCAAGGCCAAAAAAGGTCCTAAAAAATACTGATATGTAATTGGATGCCACATTCATAATTTTTTTTTAATATTGTTCGAAATTGAATTGGTCATAGTTTCATAATTACCTAATGGATTCTTTTCAACCTAGGCTCATTTGGTAGTTGTAAAAGAGTACTTTATTTGCAATATAAACCACATGTCATTATTCACTATAATTCATTTGTAATACACCATTCTTTCCAAAATATGTCAATATTGAAATAATTTTTTGAGTCACTATATTATAAAGCATGTTAATGAAAGATCCTTCAAAATTCATGTATTTTTTTAAATTAAAGAACCATATTTAGAATTTAATGCTTCTTTCCACTTCGTAGTATCTTCACCATTTAAAGCTTTTGTAATTAGATAAGATTCATTAGAATCATGTAAAGTAAATAAATAATAAGTAATATATGATTATAATATTTATTTAATAATTTTTTATTATTAATATTTTGGATTTTTTTGGTAGATTGAATGATAAAATTCTTAAATTAGTTAAATGAGTATTCTTAATTATATCATCATTATTTGACAAAAGATTTTTTAAAGCAATTAATAATTCAAAAAATATTTCTTCATGTTGAAATTTACTTTGAATACATTAGTATGATTACTTTGAATACTTTGAACCTTAGTATGATTACTTTGAATACTTTGAACCTTAGTATGATTACTTTGAATACTTTGAACCTTAGTATGATTACTTTGAACATTAGTATGATTACTTTGAATACTTTGAACATGTATCATGAGAAGACATAACATCATTACATAATATTGATTGTCAAATTGAAGTAATTTTTGAAAATTGTTATAAAAGAATATATTTTGTCAAGTAGATATCTTAAATCATGTTTCAACTAAAGCATCAATAAAGCTTTTGTTATCATTATTGTCATTTTGTATTCATTTCTTTCTTTGAGTAAATAAAGTTTTTAATAAGGTAATTCCATCAAAGATAATATTACAACTAACAATTTTTTTTTATTTTTAATTATATAATAGATATTATTCACCATAGCCAAAAAAAATATATTTTTTATTTTTTATATCAAGCTTATGTTGGTACTCATTAAAAATATGTACATATGTTATATATCCATAGATCTTCAAATGACTTAAATGAGGTGTTTTACCACAATATAATGTCAAAAAAGTCATTGAAGCTTCTAATGTCTTTAAAAAGGTTCTATTTTGTATATAACAAGTTGTGGCCTTGGCATCTGCCCAAAAAAATTGGATAATCTAGATGTATGCAATAGACATCTTGCAAACTTTAATAAAATTTTATTCTTTTGTTTGCTAACACCATTTTGTTCTAGTATATAGGATATAGTGAATTGACATATTATTCCATGTTGAACACAAAAATAATTTGTCCAAGAAACCTGAGGACTTTGGCAGGTGGAGTCTCGGTCTACTCACACATTTGTCATCTGCTACATCCATTTTTATTGTTCAGGAATTTGAGTAATTGTTTCGGGCTTTGGATTGAGGGTTCTTGTATCTACATTCCGCAGTTACCAAGCTTATGAGCTTATCCATGCTCGATGGGCCATATTGCGAGCCGCTGGCTTTGTTCCTCCTAACGCATTCAACAAGTTTGGCTCCGTCTGCGGCCCTGAAGCTATGTGGTGGAAGGTACGTAATGAAGTGAATATCCTCTCGGGTGTGCTCTCATGTAGACATGGAGTTTACATCTTAGTGACATTTGCTGGTGTTAGAATCGCAGATGAGCACTTGTTGCGAAAGCAATGTTAGTGGTTTTAATACTCAGTTATTTTAACCGAGTAACTTGATTCTGACGAGACTTATGTGTTCATTAGACCGGAGCATTACTGCTGGAAGGTGACTCCATCAAGTACTTCGGAGCCACCGTTCCCATCAACCTGGCCGCTGCCGTGATTTCCGAGGTTAACCTGGTTGGAGGATCCGAGTACTATAGATCGACCAACAAGTCTCCCCTCGGATCGGTATGTCCCTGCACCAATTCGCTGTCATGTGGAGAAAAAGGTGGTAGACAAGACAGAGGTGGCCTTATCATGGTTTGAGGGTGTGGCGAGGTGAATCGATCTTTGAACTGTCCACGTTCTGACCGTGAGGGATGTTTATGGATTGCAGGACTTGGATAGGTTGCACCCAGGAGGTGCATTCGACCCTTTGGGGCTTGCGAAGGATCCCGACCAGTTCGCGCTGTTGAAGGTGAAGGAGATCATGAACGGGAGGTTGGCTATGTTTTCGATGCTGGGGTTCTTCGTCAAGGCATACGTAACTGGAGAGGGACCGGTGGAGAATTTGGCTGCACACTTGAGCGACCCATTCGGAAACAACTTGCTGACCGTCATCCAGGGTACTGCTGAGCGGACTCCCAGTCTTTGAGATCACAGGTTTCATGTATCTGATCTTAAGAGGTACAGATTCTTTGTACGAATGTTAGGAGGTGGAACGTGCGCAGTGATTCACTGTGCACTAATTTTCCCATGTTCTGAGATTGGATCTTATCATCCATGCAATCGAGTGGTTAATCTAGTCGGAACGTAGTAATCTCTTGCTCGCCCAACTGTATATCTGTAATAAGGAATTAACATCGAGAGTATTTCGTCACCCTGTCTACTGAGCATTCAATGGCATGGCTTAATGATTCATGGACTCTATAATTCTCTTCTTTTTGTAGTTTAAATGTGTGGGAGAGGATATGCACGAGTACGATAGACCAGCTGTACTTATTTTAAATCAATGTGTGTATATTTTGAATAAGGTAGATTACACACTCTTTCCGGTCATTGTACATGTACTCTTTAAGTGCATTCACATCTGAATATTAGCAGTTGCATTTCTCTCTAACAAAAAGCATTACTTTGAAGGCGGAAACTACTTGCTTACAATTATGTGGCGTGTTAGTGAATTGGTTACTTGCTGGAATTGCGTGTGCTGGAAGTGCGCGAGTGTGGGCTAGCTTGTCTGAGTTGGAAGTTTGTTTTTCAACATCCTCCGTTAGACCACTACCTTCCAATACTAGTGGACTGTAGTATCGGAAAAACTTTTGCTTAGTGGGCAGGCTCGAAGCTTGGCATTGGCAGCAAACTAATGGAGTTGCAAAGCAAATAAAAACAATCAAATGGCAGAGTTTTAGTGAGCAGATCAGTGAGTTGTGCGGTGGTATTAACATACTGGATGTTGATCTCATCCAAATGTTGGTGCTCGCATATGAAATGATATATCACGTCGATGTGCTTTGTACGATAGTGAAATTCAGGATTGTGAACAAGTCGAATGGTGCTTTGATTGTCGGAGAGGAGGTGCATTGCTTGACTTGGCTTGTAACGTAGGTTTGTGAAAAGCCAACGGTGCCAGATGATGTCTTTCGTAGTGGATCCTGCTGCCACATATTCCGACTCGGTGGTAGAGGTAGAGATGCAATTCTGTTTTCTACTGCACTAGTAGACGGGTGTCTCGTTGAAAAGGAGCTGCATGCATGTGCACGACTTTTGATCTGTCACATCTCTAGCGTGATCTGTCACATCTCCATACCCTTCGAGTAGCATCGTCTTGGCGATGCTGCTGAAACATAGTACGAGATGGAGAGTGCTTACAAGATAACAAAAAATTCAAGGCGGCTAAGGGTCTATGCATAGAGGAGGCATCCCACAGTAACGGAGTAGAGAAAAGGTGGTGGAAGGGATTCTCTGCCATTGTTGAGTTTAGTGTTGGGGTCGGTAGGTACACTCAGCTAAAACCGAAGTGGCTTAGTATTTGTCGAAGGTAGTTTGCTTGATGGATGAAAATGTGCCCATCGGTTTGGAGGCAAAGAATGTGGAGCCCCACATATAGGTCGGAGTTTGAGCGAGTGATTTTTTATGTGGTGCACTAGGTTCTCCAATCAGACCAATAAAGAGTAGATGGTTAAACAATTGTCTACAAAGAGAGTCATGATGAACCATGATTCTGACTTCAAGATATAGATGAAAGGATCTGCTTTGGTTCTTTGAGGTCAAATTTTATGAGAAAGTCATAAAATATTTGATTCCAAATCCGGTCAAACTATTTCAGGTCGTGTGAATCACCAAATGGACTCACTTATATATTTAGTACAAAAAATGCAATTATTGAGTTTAAAATCTCAAATTTTTTGAGTTAGTTGTAGAATTTTTAGAAAAAATAGAAAATAGATTGGTAATAGCAGATATGCAACCTAAGGTAGAGTTTATTCAGACAAATTTCTATGATGAATATATTTTTTGTTAGCTAATATTAGATGATGGCTCAATGGAAGAAGTCCTCGTTGTCAAAAGAAAAAAGAGTTTTATTTAATAATAGTTCTTAAAACATATATAAATATATATATATATATATATATACATACATACATATAATAATAGAAAAAAGAGATTAAAAAAATATAAACTTGAAGCAAATCAAGGAATAGAAAAAAAATATAATAGAAGAAAGGGAAATCAAAAGGAAGGAGAAGAAGAAAAGAAGATGAAAAGAAAAAAGAGAAGGAAAAAACAAAAAAAAATAAAAAAAATAAAAAAAATAGGAGGAGAAGAAAAGATGATCACAAGGACGAGAGGCAGCCACTAATCTGCAGCAGCCTCATTGTCGATAGTGGTCCAGGCCGCTCTGCATCCCATCTCTCTTGTTTTTGTGTTTTTTTTCCTGTATGGTTTTCGAGCTCCTATCCTTATAAAGTTCTCTCTTCGTGGTGCCTCTGATGTGTATGTAGTTGCAGAGTGTTCCCTTAGTTCCGTTGAGTGGTGCCCAACGGAGGTGCACTTGTTATTGGTTCATCATAATTGTCTACTTTTTTTTTTTTTCCTCGCTCGATGAGCGATTGGCCAATAGTGTTGGGTTCAAGGTGGCACAGTTGGCGTCGGAGCTTGAGATTCAAGCGGCAATACGGTCGGCGGTTTGGCACTATAGTGATGACGGTCCAGTGCGATGGTGTCACAGTAGCCGTGGTTTGTCTTGTCGTGCCAATTGATTGATTATCATGTGGGGCGTTCCTGCAGTCAAAGAGTGTGGTGGTGGTTGTGCCGGTGGCATTGTTCAGGTCAAGTGCCGTTCAGGTGGAATTGCAGTGTGATTCCCGTGGTTGTTTGAGGGTCACCTTGGACCTGGGCTGTAATGAGAAGTATATGGAGTGCGAACTGCGTTTCGTTATTTCCGTTTTTCCGTTTTGTTTTCTTTGAATCACAGATTCCAACCCGAATTTGGTGAACCATCTGGTACTTGTTAGAATTGGAGGGATCATATGGAGCGTTCTTGCTCTGGAGATTCAAAGAATACAATCTAGACTTTAGAGGGTACATGACAATCGCATGATTATAATCATAGGAGCGGGTATTTTGGATCGACGTTGTGAATCAGTTATAGAAGTCCAGGCTAGAATTGAATCATTGCGCTGTTGTGGAATGATTTGCGGCGAGTTGATGTTGTGGAGCTGTTGTCAGTTGGTGTGCGGCAGCGTCAAGATTTTTCACTCAAACTTTCAACTTTGAGAGCAACAAAAGGAGAGCATTGTAATGGTATAACCCATATGACGGGAGAGTCAAGCTGGGAGCAGGTGCCAACTTGACGTCAAGCAGGTGGAGTGCAAAGATTTGATCGCAAGGTCATCGATGAGAATGAACACCCGACAATTGAAAGGCTCTGGGAATCGTAAGCAGTAGTAGCGTCGGCTTCACTTCAGAGGCCATTACCGCAATAGTAGTAGTACTGAGCTAAGAACAATGGCATTATTGTTGTCAAGTTGGACGAATGTATGCCTACATCCAGCAATAATCAACCTCTGTGAAGTTGATCTGTGGTAAAAGAATCTTCAAGGTGGTTGGTGTAGATCAACGTTGAAGACGTTTAGGGGTAGTCTCATCACACGCATTTGAACTGCGCACTAGTTGAGGACTGGTAGAGGAAACGATAGTGTGAAGATCTATGCTTGCAATATCAAGTTGTTGGTCCGGCATCACGTAAACCCCATTTGGCTATTGTCATGTTTTATGAGTATTTAGTTTTGCATTGGATTCATTGTCGACCAGTTTGAGGCGGAAAGTATGTTTTAGTTGTGGAGATATGTGATGCCCGAGCTATTGAGCTATTGTGCTCTATCTGTCTCATGACCACCTCTTTGCTGAATTCCAATTTAAAAGTTGGGAGGGGGTATAAGAAGTGAAGTGATCTCCTTCGCTGCACTGCAAATTTTTTCCAACTAGAGTACCTGATTCAGATCCATGCCTACAAACTTCCAATTGGACCAATAAAGAAAGGCAGCGGGATTGCATAACACTATCAGGCTATCAATTCGGGAAATCAAGCTTCTAGCTTGGAAAACCTAACGCCAGTGCTTCCAACGAGCTGTTCTTTTGCAGAACCCTCAAGGTGACAAACTTAGAGTGAAATTCAAACTAAGATCGATTTTTAGGATATAATTTAGGAATGGGATAAATCTAAATTAGATTTGAAGGAAAAGCTAGGATATAATTTAGGAATGGGATAAATCTAAATTAGATTTGAAGGAAAAGCTAGGATGCAATTAGGTTAGGATTTTGCATAACCTAAAGTTGGATGAAACTTATTGGATGAAATTCAATTCAAGAATGAATTCAAATAATGGATGAAGTTTGAGCATAGTTTAATTTTTAAAATGGATGAGAAGTGATTCATAGATGAGAAGTTATTCACAAATGAGAAGTTATTTATGGATGCTAAATTATACTTAGATGACTTTTTTTAATAGATGAAAATAAATATAAAATAAAATAACAAATAACAAATAAAAAATTAAATTAAGAGTTAAGAAAATGAACTTCTTTAGACATGCATGTTGTGAGTAGATTGCTATTGTAAATTAATGGTAGAGGTTTTGCTTAATAACTTAGGTGTTTGAAAAAAATTAAAGAATGATTTAATTAAAGTTTAAATAAGAACTATAATTTATTAAACTTGCATAATTAATTCACTTCTTGTAAACTAGAATAAACTTCTAACTAATGGAGGTTTATTTTAGCTCACACTTTGGTGCATTTGCCAAGATGGTTATCTTATAAGTCTTATGCTTGCTTGGAAGACAATTGTTTTATCATATTATAATTTTATTTATTTATTTTATCTTGTGCTAATACAATCTTTTGGTGTTATTACAAATTGTTATTATGCATGAATTTAAAGTGGAGAAGAAACTTGAAGGAATTTAGGGTAGAGTAGAAAAAAGCTTAGATATAGATTTAGGATTATTTTAGAGATTAGAATCAATAAGGATTAGAGAAAAAATCTTCATCAAAAGTAGAACTCTACTCCAAATTTAGTCATCACTCTCCTTTCTTGTCAATTTCTTGTTGAGGGCCTATCTCTAGTGGTTGAAGGGATTCAATCACCTTCTCC